ACTTGACTGCTTCTACTGGGCATACACTTCTTTTTTTGCCTTATTTCCATGAGAAGATTCCTGTTCATCCAAGCCAGCCTTCTGCCTCTCCTGCTCAACTTCCAGTGTTTGGGAACTACTGCTCCTGTGCCCCTAGGAGGTGATGTTTAAAACGTACCGGCACTGATGGACCCTGGGACCTGCTAAACAATTTTAACATTTTTGTTAAAAAACTGTTTTTGCAGGTGCTGGAGTCCATCAGTGATGATACTTCATTTTGTAGGTGCCCTGAGATTTTTTGGGGATCAGTGTAGGGGAAAAAGGTCTAAGTAGTTATTACAGGTGCACTGCTACCAGCACTTTACTGTTAGAATTACATGAGCTAAGCCTGCTATGAATTCTTGATGTTTTGGGGAATTATTGTAGATTTTCATCTCTCCTGCCATGAGGGCCAGTGATAAAAGCCAAATAAGAGATGGCATAAAAGCTGTCCATGGAACAGTTAAAAACATAAAGGAAGAACATTTTAGAAGCTGTTAGGTACTACAGTTTTACCTTCAGGATACTCATAAGAAATGAAAAATGTTCTGTTTTGGTTCGTTCTCTGGCAGTGAAATGTTTGATGCGTGCTATTGTGTTTTGGGTGGATAGTGAAGCCATTTCTTGAGCAGGAATTACCTCCAGTTTGTTGCTGGCATTGCAGTTAAGGCCAAGTTGAATTGAATTTTCAGTAAAATTGGCTGGTTTTTTGTGTTTTTTTTTTTTTTTTTTGGTTGTGGTTTTTTTGTTTGGTTGGTTGGTTTTTTTTTGGGGGGGGGTTTTGTGGTTTTTCTAGACTGTTAAAAGTTTTTGCTTCAAACAATATGCTCTGGCTACTGTTGGGTACTTATAGCTAAGATATGTAAACAGAATGGACCAAGGTCATCCCTGGCATAATTTACTGGAATTCAGCACTGTCACACCAGGAATGAATTTGGCTCAATGTTTTGGCATTAGCAGTAAAGGTCATTCCTGCAGTTTGCCCTCGCTATAGAAAGTGTGATCAAAAAGTTTTCCATTTTATTTCCCTTTTGATGGTCACATTAAATCTTATTACACTGTTGGTACTTACCTCACTGAGTGTCTGTGGATTTTCTTTATAGGCAAAGCTTTCATCCCTGGACATCCATAAATAACTCTATTCACCACACTTTTCCCACAGCATTTGAGTTATGCTTCCGAGCCGAGACAAGTGTTAGCTTGCATGTTCTGCAGATGGATTTCTGCTTCATTTTTGTCCATTTCAGAGAGGTTTTCTATCCCTGGATCTTCCATTCCAATCAGATCCACCTGCATGTTCTCTCCTGCACCATGCCTTTGAGAGGGCACTAGTCCAACTTTTCTGATTAAAGTGGATGCACTACTGTAGATACAGAGCCCTTGAAAGCAGAGGCTGCTGCTGCAAATTCACTTTTTAATTTGTTTCTGAAAAAGATGCCAAAATAAAAAGAGAAAAAGTGCTAACTGCATATTTTTTCAATAAAAGGGTTAGTATTTATGTACTTGGGGAAGTTATGACTCAGTTGTATATTATGCAGGATTTCATTTGTGTAAGTTACTTTCTGATTAGTTATTGATTATAATCAGAACCCTTGGAGCTAAATGTGCAATATAGCTAATAACCAGGTCTTCTGCAGATGAAGAGGATTCTTAAATACAATTTTGATGCACTTTAAAATTTCTATTTATTGAACATTGTCACAAACAGCAAATTGCAGCAAGCCATTGAAACTATGGCAGTGGCAGAAGGTTTGCAGTATTTCTGTAAACATGGGAATCATAGAATCTTAAAGAAGGTCTTTTTTCTCAGTCTCTAAAGTTAAAGCAATAAAAAGCATTTTAAAATATCCCCTTCTGTCTAATTTATTTGGATGCAAGCTGGTTAAATCTCATGCATTGACTCTAAGACTCTTATAATAGGTAAGTGCTTCATCGGTTCCCACTGGCTGGCAGGGGTTATAGGATCAGACAAGGGAAGAAATTTCCTGAGACTGCACCAACTGCTGTGTCACCTAGGAGGCTCCCTGGTCAAGGCATATTTCCCATCTCCACGACCATGTTATTCCTACCCTATCAGGCCTCCTGGGCTTCAGAGAACAGCCTATTAGAAGACCAAAGGCACCAGGTATTTGTCCAGTGTGCTGCTTTCAGTCCTGGGAGGTGACTTCAGAACTCTGCTCTGGACACAATAAAAAGCTTCTACTCAATAGGCAAAGGCACAAAAAGGAAGGGTTAGTATAAGGCACAAAGAATTGATACCAAGCCCAGCAGCCCGTAGGAAAACAGAAGGGTGTTGTGGAACTGGCTGCAGAGTGAAACCTGCTCCTTTGATCCAGGCAGTATATCTGGCTGCTTTTTAGATGTCTTTTTCATGCTTAGTGCATATTTGCTGGTAGCAGACATGGTGGTCAAAAATATGCACTGAATCTGCTAAAGGGCTCCCCTGAAGTTAATGGGAGTCTTTCAATGGGTTTTGGTTTAACATATTCTGTATCAGTGAGTTAGAGAACTGTTTTCTTCCATGAGTTTTGGTCAGTAAATTATAGTAGGCTATAAAAAAAAAAATATTTATAACATAGTCTCTCTCATGAGATAACATTGCATTAATATTCACTATAAATAGGAATCCCACTGACAAGATTAGATAAAACTTTGAAAAAGCAAATTTATTGTCTAAAAAAGGCAATGCAAATCAAATCCAAGGTAAAAATTCTTCAGAATGTTTCAGAATTTTTCAGTTCAACCAAAAGTTATTAAAATTGGGGGGGGGATTTGCAAGTGTATAATCTTTTTGCTGCTTTTAATTTGCATTTTGAATCAATCAAATCACGGAAAGTGAAATGGTAAAAATTGCAGCCTAATACATAACAGAGATAGTGAGTCTGTAAATGAACAAGAATTTATTTCAGGGAGAAACTAAGTCTCTTTGAAAATTACATATTTTTTTATGAACTTTGTCCAAACTTTTTAGCTTCTAATGAAAGGAAACCCCAACAAACAGTGGTTAAATAAAGCTCAGATTTTGAAATAAAATGTTTTATTTGCCTTGTTAATAAAAAAGTTCTAATACCATTAAAAAAGCATATGAAACTCCAGTACAGACTCCATGAAGACTCTCATGTTAAAGATTTTCAGCTGAAGTTTTTTACCTCTTGTTGCATCTCTGTTACTTGATTCAAAATTCATGGCATGTATTCCCTGCATCTTAGTTATGAAATTGTTTGATGACAATCATAAGCCCCTGACTACTAGATACAGTACCTGCGAAAGCTTTTGAAATTACCTCTTGAACACACAAGAAGAAATTTAAAAGCCAGATGGAGAAATTATTTACCAAAATCTCATCAGAAATATATAGGCTTCGACTATCCTGGTCAACAGAAAGGAAGCCATGGTGTAAACAGTGTAAAACAATGTAAAAAATATCTGATAAATTAGATTCATATGTCATAGTGACAAACTATGGAAGAATTGGAGTCTCTCTAGACTGTGGATCTGCCTTTGTATTCATCCTTCTCTGCAGAAGTCATAAGACACTAAAGAGCAACCCCAGATGACAAGTCCCAGACTAGATGATCATTCCATATTTTCATTCTGGAAATTCAGACTGCCCAAGCAATTAAAATAAAGGAGAGTCTTGGGATTTTAAGTGTTATTACACCATGCGGTCTCTTCTATTTTGTATGAGGAGGTGAAATCATGAATGCAAAGAAAAAATTTCTAAATGCTTCAATTTATTTTCAAACTCTACTTTAAATGAGCCCATTTACATATCTAGAAGGGGTCTCATTAACTGATTTGAAGCTGAGTTAGAGCTTCATAGCCTCTTTTCACTTTCTGAAAACCTGATGTCTCATTTCATTATGTCACAGTTTTTAATTCTAGCGGAGGTATACCTAGACAATATTCCTAAGTATATGATTGGTGGGATGTATGAAGTGAAATTCATATCCTTCACATCCATGGATTTACTGGTTGCAATTCTTACCTGTATCATCTATGACAAAGCAAAAAGACTTTTCCATTACTCCTTGGCTGGTGCTTAGTTTCAGGATGAATGATCTGTAATCTGATTATATGCATCTTAACCAGAACATTTCATCTATTTTATGTGCTTTCTTTTTAATTGAAGAATTTTCAGTCACGCTGAGAAAGGATGTATCTGGGACTGACATCAGATCATCAGATCCTTCTCAAAGCCATTGGTACAAGGGATGTGGTTATCATTCTTTCACTCTATGTGTGTGTATATTATACACTATAGTGGATGGAGATTTGCCTGTATATGCTTACAATTTTTAAATAATTTGTAGCTATAAAACCCAAGTTCTAGAAATTAATCTTTTTACAATAAATTTATCTTTTTGAACGAATTTCTTTAATCTCTGCTTGAAAGAGATCGAAATAGACAGAAATCTGGACATCTGGAGATGTAACAGCACATGTACTGATATGTGCGCATATCTGCATGAGCTTTGTACGAAACAGACCTACCCAAAGTTCTCCCTAAGTGTTTCTAACCTGCTGATCTGTTCTAATAGTCCAGTGTAAAACAAACCCTAAAAACAACAAAAAACTCCCAACCCAATAAAACCAAATCCCAATAAACAACAAACAAAACAAACAAATGAACAAACAAAACCCAAACAAAAAACCAAACAGAAAACCAAACCAAACCAAAAGAACCCACCTAACGCCAAAAGAAATTTCCTTATCAGGCTTATTGTTTTGATTAAGCACAGACAAATATGTCCCATTTTCTTTTTCATGGAAAACACATCATATAATGTACATATGTCTTTCTTTCAAGCATACATGTGTGTCAGCAGTAGAGCACTGTCAGACTGCTAATTGCAAATTCACTCTAGGTTCAGTTTAATAATCCGGGAACTTTGATGAATTAGAACAATTTTCAGCAGACTAGTGAAATTCAAAGCTGTATCTGTGTGACAAATTTGGTGTGTCTTTCTTTTCTCTAATAGGAAAGATGTCTATTTTTCCTCATCCCCTAGAAGTAGCAACTGATTGCCTGAAAGTCAGTGATCAACTATATATAGTTTTTGCTTGGAAAGGACTGCCATTGTAATAAAGAGTTAAAGATAATCTCTTAGGAATAGCACCAGTTTACAAAAATATAAGCAAGGTATGATGCTCTCTAATAAAATTTTGGTGCTGTACTTGAATGCTCTGATTTATAGTTGCTTAATATTGTGGAAATTACTTACAGTGGTAAATAAAATCTCAGCATTTCAAAACTGAGACAATATGACAAGACTTTGAAGTGATTTTTATACTATTTCAATCCCTTTGTCTTGGAATTCAGATGACATTGTGGCAGCATGTCACACAATTTAGAAAAAAAGTAGCTAAAACAATAAAATAAACACAGGGAGCATAAATCTTGTCTAAGATCATGGTACATGCTCTCTTTCAGTCAAGAGTATGTGTTTGTGTATATATACACATATGTGTGTGTGTGTGTGTATGTGTATAAAACAGGCCCAAAACCATGACATATTATAGAAAAATTCAGATTATAAAATACAAAAGCAGAAACTGTGGCTAGAAAAAAGTAAGATTAAATAGAAAAGATAGATGTAAACAATAATAAGTTAAAACAAACAAACAAACAAACAAATTTGAAAACCAGCTACCTTAAATCTTTTCAAAATATAGAAAAAATCCTGGCAGCCTGGCAGGGAATCTGTAGCACTTACCTACAGATCAAGATCTAAAATGAGTTCTCAAGAGGATGGGGACACCACAAAAAACCAGAATGAATTATTTGACTCAGTGCTCTGTTTAGAGGAGCTTATGACAATCTAGACCCCATCCTCTTGAGTGGGATAGGACAGATGAACTGCCTCAGTTCTAGTGCCATCATTTTAAGTTTTAGAAAGAACTGATGAAATGAATATTGATACCATAACTAGATATTTTTATCCAAAATTTATGAAGAAATTAACATATGAAAAGTGCCAAAATATGGTTTGTAATTTATCTACTGAATATCCACTTTACACTAGAAAAGAAGCAAGGTTGTAAACACAGTCACACACTAAAAGGTTTCATAGGAAAATTTAGAGAACTGCAGGCTAGTAAGCCTGATGCTTTTGATGGATAAATTGGTTGAAACTACAGTAAATAACAGGTTCAGTAGACACCTCATATCATGATAAAGAATCAAATGACTTTTCTAGAGGGAAACCATATTTATTAATCTGCCAGAGTTCATTGAAGAATCAAAAAACATATGACAAGATATTTGATTTTACTCATATTCAGGAATCTGAACACGTTTCTCAGCAATGAATCTTAACCAGCCCTGGATCAAAAGGAGTGCTCCAAGGGATTAAACAAAATATAGGAAAGGGGAATTTCATTTGCTATGGAGAAAGGAGAATATTAGAAAAATCCCAAAGAGAGATGTCCTGGATCAAGTTGTATCAACTACAGTCATAAGTGATTGGAAAAAAAAAAGAAAATGGCAAAATCTGATAATGCAGTTACTTCAAGCGTTCAACACCAGCATTTCAAAAATTAAAATCTTGTGCGTGTCTGAGTGCCAATATGGAAGAAAATTTATATATTGTTACCAAATGCAGAACAATCACCCTGAAGAAACAGTACTGAACATGCATGAATTATGGTGGACTTTATCTTCTTTGTTGCTAAAGAAATTTTAGTGAGCATTTGAATTGCTCCTACAAACAGACAAAAATATATAAAGAAAATTCATAAAGAAAATTACAGAGACAAGAATGGAAATCTCTAAATCCAAGCAAGTTAATGATGAACTGCTAGCATGATTATTATGCATTATTTCATTCTATCCCTTCTCAAAAGCAACATAGTTGTATCCTATAACTTACAAGGAAGTGTAACCTATATATTCATAGTTACTGAATGACCTTTGTATAGGGACTGATGAAGTAGATTAGAAAGCAACTTGAAAAAGAGACATGACAGGGTGGAGTATTTGATATAGTCCTTCTCATTAAATACTTCATTAAGTTTTGGATGTTTTACCAAAGGATGTTTGGATGTCAAAAATATAATTGTATTAAAGAGAAATTAGAACCAAACATGTACTATTTCATGTAGTGATCAAGACATTCTTATTTATGAAGCTTGTAAAGTGGGTGGATTTATCAAGAGAATTATCATACTGAGGTTCTTATCCTTTGGAAACACAATCTCTTTATAGGATAGAGATCTATCCTCTTTTCTAGTGTCATCTTAGGCTAAAATGATGCCAGTTTTGACTTACAATGGTGGTTTGCATGCCTTTTTTATGAATGAAAAGGTATAAATATTTTTACAGTCATTGAACTAGTTAGCCATTTTTATGAAAATGTCTTAGAAATTATTCTCTTCTTGAGATGCAGAAATACAGTCATACCTTTATAACGGCACAAACTAGTTGGGGTTTTATTTTTGTATGTTATACCTCACATATTTCTGATTTAGAAATAGTTCATCATGTATTACTAGGATGCATGGGATGCCAGATATATGAACATGAACAGCAACAGATTACAGGTGATAAGCATCAGCCCCAGGCACAATATAATCCTGGTTCCTCAATCGTCTTTGATGCAAAATAAGATACAAGTCATTCAAAATGATAGTTCAGTCTATATTGAATTTTATTCCTAGAAATGACATTGTGTAAAACAGTTTAGACATGTGGTCAGGTGTTAGGAAATCCATTCAGTCTTCTTGTCCTGTAGAGAATGAGATCAAGAGACTTCTCATGCTTTATTTACACAGGTACTACCAAAATTATAATTAAGACATGATAAAATGTCTCTTGGTGTCAGTGAATAACAATGTTCATAAACAATTTTACTCCCTGGGCTATTACATTTAGGCTGTGTAAAAGTTTGGCAAACATGGGCAAAATTTATCTAGAAGAGGTAAAGTTACTATAACTTTGACAGAATATGGTATAATCTACTTTCTAATCTTGTGTCATCACATGGCAACGCACTGTTAGGGTTAATGGAGAGTTATGTAGTATAGTCATAAAATATGAACATCAGTTTTGTTGACAACACCAATACAAGCTTTTTTAGCTTTTTTCATACTGAAAATGTAAAATGACTATTAAAGTGTAATGGCACAGAACATCTTGTTTAAAAAAAGAAAAAGCTTTTTACAGTATTCTTGTTTATAGATGATATTTATTGCCTTTGTAGTCTTATGGTGTGCTTCTAAGTCAATTGAAATGCAAGTGCTAATGAAACCCCTACCATAACCCATTCATTCTTTTTTTACACCAAATGAGTCTACTACAAGATGTAAATGACTTACATATATCTGCTGTTCAGGTTTTATTGTTTTAGGTTAATTTATTCACTGTAATATTCTTAATGAAACTAATGACTCTTCCAGTAGTTTGTATGTTCATACATTGCAATTTTATTAAATCATGCTGTGATAGTTCGCACTGGCTGCTCTAAACATTCCTGAAGTTCATGCTATACTTAATATATAAGAGTAATCTTCTAGCAGATTATCAGCATAGTATATTTTGTTATCCTTTGCTCTTTCTAATTTGTTCACACCAGGGTATATCTAATGTACAGTGGTGCTTGTACAGACAGGGCTGTAACATTTGTATGCATTTTATTAGCATAGTCAGAGCTAGTTTATTAACACAGATCAAAATCTACAAAGCAAAGACAGCTCCACATATATAATTATGTTAAAATATACTTCATTGTTATGGAGATTTAGTGTAAATTTACTGTTCCTGATAAAAAAAGATAAAAATTTTTGTTTGTCAGCTTCAGAATTGACTTAAAGTCCTCAAGCTGAATGTTTTCAGGGGCAATTAAGAAAAAAAATCTGGTGACTAGCATCCTTTCACCTATCTCACACAACTGTAAATTCTGACTAACAACCACATGTAATCTCAACTGTTGGATAATACTGTTTCACATGACCAAAATCTCCTAGAATTCTTTTATTACATAAACAGGTTACATTTTTTTAATTATTGTTAAATTTTTTTCTTCAGCAATACTGGAAGCTCTCACTTCATGTTCGTGTTCAAACATGAGTTACAACACATTAGAAGGAAGGAGGAAGAATTACTAAGAACAGTGTGCAGAATAAACACCTGAATAGCAAAAATAATTTAAGTGAGCTGCCCAAGGACACAGCAGGCAACAAGAAAAAGAACAACTGGACACTGGACCCCATTTAAGCCCAGCATAATTTAAAAGTGTTGAGATATGAGCTTACTACCCGTACTGCAGTTCTAAGACAATATTACCAAATTATCTGAATATCTACTGTGTGAATTGTCATGTATCATATATAGATTAACACAAAATAATGCTCACCTTCTTAAGACAGCATCAATTTCAGGATTATTCCCCATCTTTTTCCAACATGAAGGTTTCCAGGCTTCATTCACTTAAAGGATTGGTAAAAAATTAGTTAAAAAAAAAAGGTTTAAAAATGAAGATAATGAATCCTTAATAGCACATGGAAAGTCACTGAATGGCCACTGAATGTTAACCTTCTTTTAGTAAACAGCTGTTAGTTTGCACTGTGCATTCTTCTCTCGCTTACTCTACAAAACAGGAACTGTTCCATGGAAGAAGTAGAAGAGAGCATTATTCACAGAATCCATTGTGTTACTGATGTGTCAAGGCACTGCAAACAGCCTTCACCTTCCATTCCATCCTATACCAGTGTGTAGTTGAAGAGTGATGATGTAGACAATCACTTGGATTCTGCAGATTATATTTTAAAATAATAAACTGCTGAAATAAAGCATGTATTTCTGACTGTATCAATCAAAAGGTGGTCTGCTATGAATGTTAAATTTTGTTAAATTTCTTTTTTGTAAGATCCTTAGTGTGGGACATATCAGCCTCATGTAAATGTAAATACAAGAACTACAATATGTGTCCATAGAATTGGAAGAAAACTTTCACAGATGGTTTAGTATTTAGACAAAAAACATTTGGTTGTTATTGCTCTTGTCTCTTTTTCTGTTTTTCCCAATGCTATTCTGAGACTCCCTTACAAGTTTTAGATTAATAGCTGGATCCAAGAAGTAAGGTC